CCTTCTTTGGTTGACCCTCTGCTGAAGATACCAGAAGGCCTGACACTTGGTGAATTTTCATGAATCTACTTTAGCCGGTAAAACCAACGGAAGATTCCTTCAACGGCTAGAAGACTTCAACTGAAAAGCTACAGTACGCGCATTAAATGCACATTTAATGCACTCCGTACGCTAAAGAGTAAATACAAATGATTGGACGAAATGTCAGGATAACTTTATCCCAAAATAGCAACTCGCCAACTTTACTGGGTCCTACTGGTCAAGTCAACTGTTCGCGCATTTAAAGCAGTTGTCCTCCTCCTCCAATGGGAAGACAACCTCAGTATAAAAGATACTCCTCGAAGAACAACCAGATAACTTTGCTAAACTTTCGCTCTAACTTTGTGCTACAACTTCACTCCATCAACTATATTCAAACGCACAAAGCCTTCTTGAGATTCAAACTCCATTCTTCAATAAGAAAGACGGAGGTTGGAAAGATTATATTTTCACATCTTTAAATTCCAACAAGAAGCAAAGTTCCAACTGTTCTTCAACACTTCAAGCACTTCATCTACACATCCTTTGTGACGAAGCAAGTTGGAGAACCCCTGTTCTTACAAGAACTCTTCTTTTACAAGAAGGACGTCCAAGTAACTGGAGTAGTGAAGTGGTTATACTTCCAGGAAGCTCAATGAAAGGACCAGTCTTAAAGGAAGCAGGAAGTGCATCCCAGGACACATCTAGGGTTGAAGAAGACGTGGAGAGCTTCTTAAGTGCTAGGGCTAAGGCGTTGTAAACTGTCGTTTTTACAAGCTTAGTGGAACAGTGGATTAGAGAAACGAGTTGTTCCTTGAATCACTATAAAAATCCCTGGTGTCATTTACTTACTGCTTTTAATTCTTGCATTTACTTTATACTGTTTAACTCCAGAGATTTGGTCTCTGTGTTCAGCAGAACCCCTCCTGTGAGTTAACAGAAGGCCTATTGCCTTTGCATCTCTTAGAGGCTAATCGGACAGAACCCCTACCAGAAGACCATCTGCTCTTCCAACATAACAGGCTATTCTGTTAAATCTGGTACTTAGCTTGAAAAAGTTAAAAACCAGTACAGTCTATTCACCCCCCCCCTCTAGACTATACCCAGTTCAACCGGGACCAACACAGTTAAGCAACGCAAAAGGAAAAATAAAATACCTGGTCTACGGAAGGCAGACTGGACATGGTGCACGAATAGAGATGAGTTGGGAGGCATGATTACAGATTATTTTTTGTCTTTGTTTCAGGTCTCGGAGCAGAACCAAATGACGGAAATTGATGGGGATTTTTCTAGGGTGAATGAGGCCCAGAATAATTTTTTACTTCAGCCAATCAGTTAGGAGGAGGTCAAAGCGGCGGTTTTTGACATGCATCCGGAAAAGTCACCACGATCTGATGGTATGAATCCAGCCTTTTTCTAGACTTATTGGGATATTGTAGGACCAGAAATCTCGAAGTTATGTGGTGACATGTTCAAATCAGGTAAGATAGCTTAGAACATTAATATCACTAATATTGTCCTGATTCCCAAAAAAGATAAGCCTGAATGCATGGGAGATTGGCGTCCGATTGCGTTGTGTAATGTGGTATACAAAATCTTTTCAAAAGTTTAATTTGGCGAACAGGATGAAAGGGTTGCTGGATAAACTGGTAGGAGAGTGTCAAAGTGCTTTTATTCCCGGAAGATCTATTATTGATAATATCATTGTGGCTTTTGAGACCCAACACTATATGAAGCGTAAAAATACTGGGAAAGAGGGATTTATAGCCCTTAATGTTCTAAAAGGCGCTAGGCACTAGTCGGGCGCCAGGCCAGCGCCTAGCGCCTATGCGGCTAGGCGGGCGCCTAGTTGGGGACTAGTCGGAGACATAGAAATTCCATTTTTATCTATATTTTTGCATAAATATGATAAGTACTATTGTATTTTTGTGTGAATAAAATACATATATATACATTAATATACATTAACAAACGAGAATGATAGAATTATCAACTTTACTCATATGTAGTACTACCTCCGTCCCTTAAAACTTTGCCAAAGTTGACCGGCACGGAGAATAATAAAGTAAAAACTGTGTGGTTGAGGTTTGTGAAGAGGAGAGAGAAATAATAGAAACCACAAAATAATTGATTAAATGGGAAAGTGACAAAGTTTTTTGGGACATCCCAAAAAGGAAAGATGGCAAAGTTTTAAGGGACAGAAGGAGTATATGATAACTAATCATTAACTTTATTATGTTATAAATATAAATAATGATAAAATTTGGGTATATATACAAACATATATAGTTTTATGTTAATTTACAACTTCATTTCTTTATATTCATGACTAAAGTTAAAGTACGTATATCACATAGAAAATTAAAATTAAAAAGTAAAGTAATGTTCAGCGGATTTAGACGAACTAGGCGGCCGATTAGGTGCTCTAGGCGGACAAATAGGCGCTATAGACGGCCGACTAAATCACCTAGACGGCGAACCAATTAGTCGGAGCGTCTAGACAAAAATCGGGGCACCCGACCACCGCCTAGCGCCTAGAACGATTTTTAGAACAGAGATAGCCATCAAGCTCGACATGAGCAAGGCTGATGACAGAGTGGATTGGACTTTTCTTGACAGTATTTTAATTAAAATGGGGTTCAGTAGACGCTGAGCGAATATGGTTATGGAATGTGTCAAAACTGTCAAATACTATATCCAATATGACGGTGATTTTCTGGCTCCTTTTTCACTAGGTGCGCAGGGGGCTACGTCAGGGAGACCCCCTATCTCCATATATTTTCATCATGGTAGCGGAGGGTCTGAGTGCACTCATACGGAGAGCCGAGAAACATGGTGATATTCATGGTGTGGCCATCTGTAGAGGAGCCCCTTGGGTGTCCCACCTGATCTTTGCAGATGATAGTTTTTTATTCTTTAAAGCTACCGCTAATGAGTATACTGTGGTGAAGGAAATTTTGAAGGCGTATGAGGAAAGATCTGGGCAGGTGGTCAATTTTACTAAATCCACCATGACTTTTAGCCCCAATATTATGGAGGAATTTAAAAATCACTGTTGTAATTTTTTTGGAGTTTCACAGGATGCTGGTCAACAGCGTTATTTGGGTTTGCCGAGCCTTGTTGGAAGGAGAAAATCAACTGTTCTTGGATTCCTTCGAGATAGGATTGTGCAGAGGATTAAAAGCTGGAATAACCAATTTTTGTCTCGAGCGGGAAGAGCAGTGCTGCTCCGAAATGTGGTACAGGCGATGCCCACATATGCTATGAATGTCTTCCTACTTCCTCAGGATTTATGTGATGAAATAGAAAAGCTTATGAATGGCTATTGGTGGAAAGGAACTAAATTTGAATAGAGAGGAATTAGATGGAGAAGATGGGAACTCTTGTGTAAACCGAAGGGGCTTGAAGGGTTGGGCTTCAGAACATTAAAGGAGTTTAATCTTGCTATGTTGGCTAAACAAGGTTGGCGGCTCATATCCAACCCCGAAAGCTTAATGGGGCGTGTGTTAAAGGCAAGGTATTATCCTAACTCTGGATTGTTGAGACTCAGAGTGTGCTAAAAGATAATATTAGAAGACAAGCTGGAAATGGCAGAGAGGTACAGGTCTGGGGCGATGTTTGGCTACCAGGACCCGAAAATGGCAAGGTTCAGTCAGCTAAACCACCTGGGATAGCGGATATGAATGTTGCGGCTCTGAGAGACGCCACGGGCTGAAAATGGAATACGGAAAGAATAGAAGCTATCTTTAATGAGGAGGAGAGGAAAATCATAACCAGCATTCCCATTAGCATCAAGGACAGGACGGATGGCTTCTGGTGGAGTAAAGAAAATGATGGTAATTTTTCTGTCAAAAGTTGCTACAGAACACTGATGCAGGGTGTGGGAGAAGGAGCATGGACAGGCTAGAAAGACTTATGGAATCTCAAAATTCCACCCAAAATAAAATATTTTATCTGGAAAGTTCTGGATGGATCTCTTTCATCCCTAACGAACTTGGAACGTAAAGGAGTGCATGTTCAAAATATATGCAAACTTTGTATGCAGGAACCGGAAACACCGGAGCACGCATTGCGGTCATGTACGAAGGTTGTGGAGGTCTCGGCTGAGGCGGGAGTGGATATGGGCAGAGAGGAGGATACACTGGAGACCTGGCTTAAAGGAATGTTGACTGGGCCGGATAAGGCAAAACGATGCAAGGTAGCCATGCTAACCTGGGGCCTGTGGAAGCGACGTAATTCTTTTGTTTTGGAAGAGGAATGGCAGAGTGCGGCTAGCGTGATCAGCTGTTGTGCAAGCATACAGAAGGCCTGGACTGATGCGAAGCAGATCATTGCGAAACCGAACAGCAATTTGCGAGGCACCAATCAGAGATGGAAGCGGCCAGATTTGGGAGGGATTAAGGTTAACGTGGATGCGGCGGTAGACAGTGCAGGGGGAACAAGAGCATGGAGTTGGATTGCTAGGAATGATCAAGGCGAGTTTGTAAAGGCGGGGGGAGCTTCATGCAAGGCGGAATGGACCCCGGTGGAAACAGAAGCGGTGGGGATCCGTGAGGCAATTATAGCAGCTATTAGCGAGGGTTGGCAGAATGTTGAGTTTGAATCTGATGCACATGTAATTGTTCGTGGGATTCGTAGCGGAGGGGGTATCACCTATCAAGACCTGATCATTGATGACATACAACATATACTTCAGTCAAATAGCAATTTTGAGATCTCTTTTTGTAGACGATCTGCGAATCGTGCGACTCATGTGTTAGCTAGAGCGCACGTCACTATCTCAAATCTTTTTTATAGTTATTCCACTATTCCGAGTTGCATTGTAAGCCAATTGGCAAACCATTTACTACATTATTACAGTTGTTGAGTTTCGGTTCAAAAAATTTTTATCTATTATTAAATTTGACTTTTCTTCCTCTGCCAAACATAGATGTACGGAGCCTACTGAGGTAGTAATACCGAGTATTTATATACTCCTTATTTTAAAATGGGCAAGTATTGGTGGAACCCATCAGTAAATATGAACGCCCATGAAACACCAGCACCAGTCATAGGAAAGATAGAGAAAGAGGAGAGTGACGATTCACATCAGTCCTCAGCATCTAGTATGGCCGCTTCACCCATAGACGGCATGGCATCGACGGCGCTGCGATCGGTTCTGCAGCGGGTGCAGCTGGCCGCCGAACGCTGCAGCCGTGGATCGGATCGGATTAGGGTGCTGGCCGCGAGCAAGACCAAACCAGTCTCTCTTATTCGTCAAGTTTACGACATTGGACACCGCTGTTTCGGCGAGAACTATGTCCAAGAGTTCGTAGAGAAAGCTCCTCAGGTCTTTTTTCTTGGAACTTTGTGAAATTTTCTGCCTCTGTTTATCTCTGATTCGTTCTCTGAATTTACTGTTATGATGTGCGCGATAGGAGTCGGGTGTTGATTTTATGCTTTGGCTGTTGTAAAGTGCAGCTTCCGGAGGATATAGAGTGGCATTTCATTGGGAATTTGCAGAGCAATAAAGTTAAGATGCTTCTGAGTATGTTTGCTTACCCAATCAACGAGCTAATTAGTTTCTTTTGCTAATAAATTGGAATAAGGTTTGTGGCAAAATAGATATTGATTCAAGTCAAGAGTTTTGCTTTCTGATGTTTTTTCCTTTCAAACAGTGTCACATGCTAACAGCATCATCATATGTAGCTCAAAACTGCTTTTAATTTCCTATAAATTTAGGATGCCTTATATTAGTGCAGATTTATCATACTCCCTTTCCTATGAATAGATAAATTTCAGAATTTCAGTATTGCAAGATTTGGGGAAGCTCAAAGCTTCCACTATAGTATATACTACTCCTATATAGTTGTCCATACATCAATACTGATCTAATTCTGCGATGGGGGTTTAGTTTGTGATTTTTAGCCATGGCTAAGTGGTGTGGGGCGTAGGGAAATAGACTAGATGAAGTGAAATAGACAGGCACCCACATATATGACTATCAGAACACAGAAATGTTGTGTGCCTATCTTTTCTGGAGAGACTAGATGAAGTGAGTTATGCCTGACAACTATAAGGGTTCTTGTCTTCTTGAAGAAGCAATTAAGATAGGTCCAGATTAATTCTCTCTGAAAGGTTCAGTAACTGCTTTGGACTTGAGAGAGCTACCTCACTCATCTTGTTTTGTAAGTTGAAACTGTTGTTGGCCTAGCTTGTTGGGTAAAATGAATAGTTGCCATGACTTTTTGATATCTCCTTTTGGGAGGGGGCAAGCGCAGAAGTTCATTGGTTATTACTCCTTATGGTGCTTCTTATGTATGTGCATATTGTTATATACTTTCAGCTGGTGTGCCCAATCTCGCAATGGTGGAGACAGTTGATGATGAAAAGGTAAAACATATCTGTGTTATCCTTTTTTCAACACTAACTGGAAAAATGAGACTATACTACAATTCTATGAATCATACAACTACAACAACATCCAAGCCTTAGTCCCAAAAGATATTGGGGTCGGCTAACATGAATCGATACATGATATCACAACCAAAAGGAAAAGAAAGAAAATAAAGATAAAAAAGATAAGCTATTATAAAAAGATAATATAAAAAGAGATGAATATACATAAAAATGATAAAATAAAAAGGATACAAATAATGCTACCATGGCGGAGTTTCTATGAATCATATATGCAGAAATTTATTACTCGTATCAAATACCAATAGAACAACAACGTTGTTTACTTGTTTTATTCTCCAAAAGGTCAAGCCATGGAGAATAATTATCTTAAAATTGTTACTAGCATATAGCATGAGTTTGTATACAGAGTAGAAAGAGTAAGTGCCCCAAACTAATTAGCAATTCAACACATTCAGGTTAAACTGCTAGCTCTATAGTTTTGGATTCAGTTATTCATCCTCTAGAAGAAAAAGATCTATGCAACTTCATGCTTACTGCTGGACATTTCTACCCACAATGCACTGTCTCAAAATATCCATGTCATTTTTTTGTTTCGCGAGTGAAATTCAATCTTACATACATTTCACCTGAATGAGAAAAAATGACTTTTAAGTGTGGCCTAGAAAACTAAGTGTGGCATACATAGCCATTAACTTCTAACATAGCCTGGTCTGAATTATCCAACCACTCATTAACTGAATCAGTCCACTTTATTACTTTGCATTGTGTAGATTGCGAATCAGCTTAATCGAGTGGTCGGAAACATTGGAAGGAAACCTTTGAAGGTTTTTGTTCAAGTGAATACAAGCGGAGAAGAAAGTGAGTAATCAAGTTTGAGTAGGTCTCTTACTTATTAGTTGTTTCATTAAAAAATAAATAATCTTCTAACAGGAGAAAAGGAAAGATAACTTTCTACTCCGTAATATTTTTGCAGGTAAATATGGTGTTGAACCAGCTGGGTGTGTGAGCCTTGTCCAACATGTTACTTCAAGCTGCCCTAACCTTGAATTCTGCGGCCTAATGACAATTGGAATGCTTGATTATACCTCGACACCGGAGAATTTTAAGGTTTCTTGTCACCTGATGTTATGAATTATTTTTCTCTAAAAATGACTGGCTTATTAATACAATATACTGTTGCCTCTACTAGACATTAGCAAATTGTAGAAGCGAGGTTTGCGAGACAATTGGAATAGCCGAAGAGCAATGCGAGTTGTCAATGGGCATGTCTGGGGATTTTGAACTTGCAGTGAGTAAACTCTGCCTTGCACATTAAGTCTATGGTTTGAGCTCGTGAAATGGTAGAGAATGGGAAAAAATGCCAAGTAAAAACAAATTTGAATGAAGTTCCTGAAATTCTGTGTGTGTATACTTAGTAGTCTCTGTGCAGAAGAAATATTTTAATAAAATGGGTGATCAAATATCTAAAATAGATCTGTTTAGTTTGAATAAATGTTTTATTCCCCCCATTAATTTTATTATATGCCATATCCTTCTATTGTCCTCATTTTCTTTACCTAGTATTTTCCAGCTCCAAACAGGCCCTGAACATGTTAGTCCTTGCTATGTGCATACTTTGAAGTAGTCAGTTTTAACAACCCGTCTTTCTGGCTACTGCAGATTGAAATGGGAAGTACAAATGTCAGAATTGGAACAATGATATTTGGAGCAAGGGACTATTCGAAGATGCAATGAATTTCTAATGTTGTTGCCCTTTTGGTACAAATTTCTAGTGTATAAGTAGAATAAGCGCAGTAAGCAGTTCATTGACTTATTTGGCTGAGAAGGGTGTTGTCATATGACTTTCCTTTAAAAAGAAATGTTCAATAAGTTATTGTTCACTTTAGCAGTTTTTGTGTGCAAAACACATTATTAAACTTTGGAGCTTTGCATAAAGCATTTCTGTATGGTTTAATTTCCAACAAAATCTTCTCCCTAGAGCATATAAATTCTTTCACTTTCATCTTATTGGCGATACCGATCGAGGCTTGGAGAGGTTTGGGAGAGAGAGGCGTCGAGTGGTTAACAAGTTTCTTCAACATGATTTGGAGAAACAACAAGATGCCAACGAGTTGGAGGAACAATACTCTTATCCCCTTATTTAAGAATAAAGGTGATGTACAAGAATGTGTCAACTATCGAGGGATTAAGCTTATGAGTCACACCATGAAACTTTGGGAGCGAGTGATTGAGCAAAGACTTCGAAGAACTGTGAAGATTTCAGAGAATCAACTCGGTTTTATGCCTGGTCGCTCAACAACTGAGGCAATTCATCTTCTTCGGCAACTTATGGAGAAGTATAAAGACGCTCATAATGATCTGCATTTGGTGTTCATTGACTTAGAAAAGGCATATGATAAGGTATCTCGAGAAGTTCTTTGGTGGGCCTTAACTAGAAAAGGCACATCACACAAGTATATCAACATCATCATGGATATGCATGAGGATTGTACTACAAGTGTCCGTACTAGTGTAGGGACGACTAAAGAGTTCCCTATTACTATCGGAGTGCACCAAGGATCAGCTTTGAGCCCTTTCTTATTTGCCATAGTCATGGATGAACTCACGAAGTCAATTCAAGACGATATACCTTGGTGCATGATGTTTGTCGATGATATTGTATTGCTTGATGAGACGCAATCAGGTGTTAAAGTAAAGTTGGAAGTATGGCGACAAACATTGGAGAATAAGGGTTTCAAACTAAGTCGGAGCAAGACAGAGTACATGGAGTGCAAGTTTGGTGGAGGTAGAAGTAGTGGTAATAGCGGAATTACTCTGGATGGTAAGGAGATACCAGTCAACGATATGTTCCGTTACTTGGGCTCCATAATTCAAAAGGACGGTGAGTTAGATGGAGATGTATCTCATAGAATCAGAACATGGTGGATGAAGTGGAAGAGTGCGTCAGGATTTCTATGCGATCGAGGTATGCCGACTAGACTGAAGGGTAAATTTTATAGGACAATAATTAGACCTGCATTACTGTATGGCGTAGAGTGTTGGACGGTGAAACAATGTCACATTCAAAAGATTAGTGTGGCAGAGATGTGCATGTTGCGTTAGATGTGTGAGCATACTAGGAAGGATCATGTGAGGAATGAGACAATCAGACAAATGGTGGGAGTAGCACCTGTTGAAGACAAGATGTGGGAGTCGCGCCTACGGTGGTTTGGTCATGTGCGTAGAAGATCGAGTGATGCACCTGTCAGACGAGTTGAGATGTGTGGGGAAGAGGCAGGGAAGAGAGGGAGAGGAAGACCCAAACAAACGTGGGTTAGGGGAGTGCGAAGTGATATGCTTCTTCTGGGGTTGGATGAGAGCATGACGTTGGAGAGAGCTAAGTGGAGGGCGGGTATTCGTGTGGAGGAGTGATCTCGTATCATCTTTTCCCCTCATCTTTTTCCTTGTTTTTATCCTTATATATATATAAGCATTATTTGTATCCTTTTTATTTTATCATTTTTATGTATATTCATCTCTTTTTATATTATCTTTTTATCATAGCTTATCTTTTTTATCTTTATTTTGTTTCTTTTTCTTTTGGTGGTGATATCATGTATCGATTAATGTTAGCCGACCTCAATATCTTTTGGGATTAAGGCTCGGATGTTGTTTCGATGTTGTTGTCATCTTATTGGCGATGCTCTTGAGTATGCTTTCTTCATAATTTTCTCACTCTTTGTTACGAAGGAGAGTGTTGTGGCTCGGTATGTTATGAACTATGGCAGTGATGAAGCCCTTGTAGGAACTTACTTTTGTTATGGGATTGAAGTTTGAGATTATTGTTGTACTTCCGAACAGTGGTAGAGCTACAAATGTCAAATTAGGGGTAGGGATGGGCATAACGGTTCGAACCATTTGTAATTTGGTTTGAGTTTGGTAGTATTCCTCCCAACCCGTATTAAACTGAACCAAATCGAACCGAAATCATAAAATCGAATAAAACCGAACTAATCTAAAAATGAAATAATTTATTATTTTTTTAAAATAACAAATCAAAACCAACTTACACCAAACTAAACCAAACCAGAATATAAGATTTCTCTCATTAATTTGATTGATGTTAATCTTTTTGAAGCTTTAATTCTTTAATTTTAGTGTCTAGGACTAGAGTTTACTACAAAACTTACATTCACAACTATAACAACTATAGTGGTTTAAGTAGGTAGTATTTAACTACTACTACTATATACATAGTATTTGGTTCATTACTTACCAGCATCACTTTTGTTTTTGTTTCAGCGTTATATATAATTTGATTCATTCCTGTTGTTGTTGCTTACAAATGTGTCATGCTTATATTTTTTTGGTTCATATGTGTTTTGTTACTATTTGCAAATTTATATCTAACATATATTTGGTTCATTACTATCGCTTCTTGGTTCATTATTTTGAGTTAATTTTTTATTTCAATCCAAACCTTAATACTTTGGTAAATCGAACTCCAAACCGAACCGAACCGTATCAAACCGAAACCAAACCGAAACTTAATCGGTTTGTATTTGGTACATTTTCTATCAAACCGATTAAACCGAAACTGAACCGAAACCGAAGAAAACCGAACCGAAAACCGAAATGACCACCCCTATTAGGGGGTGTGAGTTTGGAAAATTTAGAGTGGGGCCAAAGATTCGTATTTGAACTTATATTTTTAAAAGGGGAAAATAGGGAAAGTGGGTGTAGTCCAATGGATGATCATCCACCCCCAAGTCTCTCCTTTGTGGGAGGTCTTGGGTTCAATTCCCACCGAGGGGGATGAGGAAGGTCTTGCTCCCAATGGTTCTCCCTACCTTCACGGAGTTGCTCAGCGGCTGAGAAGGAAGAAGATGGTAATGAAGGTAGCGGGTTCGTGTGGTGGGAGGAGCAGCCTGAAAGGTGATGTAAGTCCTGCTGGATTCGTCCTTTGGAGCCAGTACTGACGAGGCTGACTGTGATCAGATCCGGACTTAACTGTCTAGGGGCTTTGGAGGGTAGTTCATAGGCTCCAGTATTATGGGAGCGTAAGCCCCGACACCTGGATTATCAAAAAAAAAATTAAAAGGAAAAAATACGGATAGAGGCATATGATTCATTTTTTAATAAAGTACGACATGTGTTTCAATTTCATTATCACACAAGAGGGCATGAGGATAAAAGGGGGGGAGGCTTAACGCTGTCAGAAACCGTTCAAAGAGGAAGACGATTAACAGTAACTTCAATTTTAAAAAGTGTCTGAGAAATCAAAAGAAAAATTTTGGGGGTTGTGCCTTGTCAATCACACCTTCAAACTATCTTCCTCTTTGGATTTTTCGGCTTTATATGTTTTTTTAAAACAAATTCGCTAATATCACTTTTTCGATGAACTATCTGGCGACAAGGGTGGCCGGATACAAGAAAGAATGATGGTCTTGAGGTCTCCATGGCGAGGCGCACCTCTAGCGATTTTGGACACTTTTGAAAATGATAGTTATTGCTTATTGTCTTCCTCTAGCGATTTCTAATGGTGTTAAGTGTCATGCCCCTCCTATCATAACCGAATTGAAACACATGTCATACTTATAATATAAAACGAAACACATACCCTTGTATTAAACCGTAAAGTCACGTGTACATTTTTCGTATTTTTCCCTTTTTATAATATAAATATAAGTACATATTAAACACTAGAAAAAACTCTAAATTTTTTGTTTGTAGATCTTTTTTGGATAAATCATATTAGCATTAGCTTCTATCTTCCATTTATGATCAGAAACCCCAATACTTTGCCATTCAATTTCGATATAACAACTCGCAAAATTGTGCAGCCTCAAAAAATCGGGGTGACATTTCTGGGAGGTGGCAGAGGCTACGGAAAAGGCCTTCATATATATTTTTTATTTTTTATGTGTTTTATCTTTTTTTTTTAAGTTTTTATTTCTAATTAAGTTTTGTTTATAAAATTTTTTATTACTATATTATTTTTTAAATAAAATTTTGAATTTTTATGTTTTTATGATTTTATAATAAATTAAAATATTATTTAAAATATGATTTTCTTATTAAATTACTACCTCGATCCCGAAAAGGTTCGCCATATTTACTTTTCTTGGTCAATGATGGAAAACTTTGAACAATGATTTTAATTATTATATTTTCATATAATTCATAAATTTTATACTTTTATGAAAATATTTTTGATGGAGTATATGGGTCTAGGCCCCAGGACCCACATACTCAGAACAGAAAGCACAGCCACTACGCGGTGCCCTCGTCGGCCAGAAGACCCTCGTCGGCCGAAGAAGGGCCAACCCAGAATATGATCTTAAAGTCAAGGAATCAGGGTGTCCTCGTCGGCCGTGCCCTCGTCGGCCAAGACCCTCGTCGGCCACGGAAGTCTCACAGAACCAGATTTTACACTTATTCATTTGGATAGCCCACCAGTGGCTTTGTATTCGACCCAGTAGCGGTCCAGTTGTAAATGGGCCTCCCAAGCCCAAGGCTTGGGAGCTCAGCCCGTATTTTTCCTATAAATACTTCCTCTGGAGGTAGTTATGGGGGTTACAAAATCATTCTATTGAAGCATATATTGCACTTCTCTCTCTAGCTCTCACTTCTCTCTAGACATATACTCTATCATTTGGTGCTCTCGTTGAGAGCTAGAACAATCAAGTTAGCACCCTTCGTCGCTACCAAGCACAGCTAACCACTGATCATGGGAAGAACTAAGTCAAACCGCAACCTCGTCAGCAAGGCCATCCCTGAGGACCAGGAGACCAGGGAGCACGAGGAGGATGCTACGGCCGACCAGGTCGGCGGAGGGGACGTCTTCCAGGAGGCCACCAACCTCACGACGGACCTCCGCAACCAACTCAACGGCGGAGCCCCTGATGCCCGTATCGGCCTGGACAAGAAACGAGCTGAGAAGACAGACCACGCCCCGGCCCAGCCTATGGACGCGGCCTCTCCGTCTGTGGATCCACAGGTCCAGGCCGCGCTGTCGGTCATCATCG